AAAATATTTAAAGAATACCAGGTCTCAGTATGCTAAAGAAATATTATTTTTTGCGTGCTATTCCCATTTCCAACACTTGCGTGTGCATGCGGGGTTTTGTTTGGTTTGCTTTTGCAATAGCGTTTTCCTGCAGACCCTTGGTCGCCGTCAGGGAATGGTGCTGCAATTCCAGGGCCGCAGCGCCGCACCGGGAGCGGGGGCACCTCCCTAGGGTTAGAATTGCTCAGGAAAAGGATGGATTTGGAGAACACCAAACAAATGGAGGGACTACCAAAAGGTTGCACTTGAACACTAGTAGTTTTAGAGAGAGAGAAAAAAAGCCTTAAAACTAAGGTAACTTTAATTAATGCTGGTAAACACATTATACTTTTTGGGGTGTGAAATAGCTTTTTATGGAATTGATTAAAATWCTTAAAATATTTTTACCATTATAAAGGTCAGTAATATTTAGCACTGCTATAAGAAGTAAAATTAAATTACTATCAACTTACAAGCTTATAGAAAGGATTTTTAGCTTCAATTAAATATGAAATATGACAATATTTTAAATGTGCAGAGGTGAATTGAAAGAAGTCATGTGTTTGGACAGGGTTTTTTGTTTGTTTGTTTTTGTTTTTGTTTTTTTTTTTTTTAAGATGAAAACAGACCTGGAGAGGCCTCATTTTCAAGTTTATTGCTGTTTACTTTCTCTGCTGCTTCATTTTTTAAACTCTGAAATTATTGCTGTGGCTTTATGATACTGGTATTTCTGTCATGCTACTTTCTTCTTCATTTTAAAATTCATTTCATGAGCTGTTTGTATTATAACACTTACCCTGATTTTTTTTAATGTAATTGCATGGCATTTGTTAATTCATGTGAATAATCTGTCACAATAATAAGCAAAATATGGTAGAATGTAATAAATTAGAACTAGTAATAAAGTGCAAAACTAAGGTTCAAATCTTCAAAGCAAGATTTATTTCCTGAACTCCCCAAAGCTTCACCTCGAGTTTAAGGTCAAGGGAATGAAACTCGCTTCAGGTGCTTCATCACTGAGCAGCTCTCTGTGGAAAGCTTCTGGTTTGCAGTGCTCCACTGTCTTGTAGGATGTGGATCAGCTTCTTGTAAAAGTGGTGGAAGAACTTKTTGAAATAGGATTTTTTTCTTTCTCCCTCCTTTGGATTCTCGTAGCTAAAGATCCTCTCTGTATTCTGGATAATCTTCAACTACATCCTGTTTTACCTCAGCTTTCCTACTAGGTTTCCAAATCCCAACCTGTTGTCTTTTAAGTGGAATATTGGTTCTCTGCTCTGACTCAGGTGACTATTTTGAGTATCTGGCCTGAATCATTCATAATCTTTCACAGATCTTCTCTGCCTCTTTTCATTTAGTTTTACTCCAACTTCTACTCCAACTTCTCTTGTACCGCTTTGAAGCTAAGAGTAGATTAACTTTGGGCCAGGCTGCTCTTCTTGATTTAGATGCTGCAAATGACTACAATTTTTATTTACCTGTAGCTGTTGCCTGTGATTTGTGCTCCTGCTGCTCCTTTGAAAGAGAAGTAAGGCAGTGCTGTGCCTTGGAGGAGGCCTCCGAACGGGAGCGTAGAGCGGAGGGTCTGGGGTTTATTTTGTAGGGCTTGAGCTAGGAGGCGCTTTGCCCGGGGCAGAGTGACTGCCCACGGGAAGGCGCGGGGCCGTTCCTCGGCAGCGAGCAGCGTTCCCTGCTCCGCCTGCACCCCGGCAGCTGAGCGGGGTGTGCGGGAGCCCCGCGTCCCTGCCCGCCGCGGCGCCCTCCCTCCCCGGCTCATTTATTTTGGAAACTTTGCTACTGAAACCAAACTTAATCAATGAGCTCTGTGTTGTCTCCGATAAGTTATGTACTGGCCTTATTGATTGGGAAGGATTTTAGAAGGCCCACGTGGGGTTTATAATGTCAGCAGTGTTTTGATTATGAAAAGAGCTGGAACCCTGGGACGTGGAGCCAGGTGGCGTGTGTCCTAAAGCCGGCGGTGACACGGCTCCGCGCGGCCCCCCGGGGCCACGGTTCATGCCCTGCACTTTAACTGCAGGCGCTGGCTGCTAGGGATGCACTTTCTGCTCATTAAAATGTTAAAAATCAAACCGCATGTAAAAAGATTTGTGAAAATATAAAGTTGGGGATTGATCTGGAAAACTGGCATGTGATACCCTAGAGACGCCGGTTTCAGCTACCGGGTAATTTATGCTTTATCTGCAGTGCCCCGGGATTTGTTTTCTTTTTCCCCTTTTTCTATTTATTTTTTCCTTTTTGGGGAGTTTATTTTGGAGCAATTTATGTTGTTTTTCTTTAAGAAAATAAGCGTAAGGGAATAAAGTAAAAAAACAAACTACAGATACTGTTTTCTGTCAGGTAAAATGAGAAGGATCCTAAAATGTCAAGGTTTTGTTTTGTCGTGTGTGTTGTTTGGATCCTAAAAAGATGGTGATCCTGCTAATCCGGGCTGTAGGAGGAGGGGGTTTATGTAGACATTGCTGGTGTTTCAAATTGAGTAGTATTAAAAAATTAATAAGTATGTTTACATGGATAGGGGGTATTTTGTAACTTGAGCAAAAATGGAATAGTTCTCCAATAACACTATTTGTTGCCCATAAAGTATTGCTATTATTGTTAATTAAACTCTGATTCTATATGTGATTTTTTTAATAGTTAAAATTTTAAAAATGCCTTTATGATTAACCTGCACTAGTAGTTTATCCCAATTTTTTGAGCTGCAAGTCAAACAGATAATTCTTAGCCTAAAATGAGTGGCAAATTATGTACAGTAACATTATAAACCTTGCATAATTCTGTTGCTGAAAGGATTTATTTTAAGAGACAGAGTGTATGGCAGTATAGATGAAGTATATTGCCTATTTAGGTGAGAATTTCATTTCCTGTTTAGGAAGGGGTGTGTGTGTCACACACACACACACACACACACACACACACACACACACACACACACACACACACACACACACACACACACATATGTATATCAAGACACAAGTGCAGCGTTGTGCATGTGCTACCCTTCCCTTGCAGGAGTGCGGTGCTGGTGAGATGCTGAAGAGCTCCAGCATGTGAATGTTTGTCCTGGCAGTTGCAATAATTGCTAAATCCTGCAGCAGGACTTGGGAAGAAGATCCTCTGCACTGAGGTGGCTGTGAGAGCTCTCTAGCAGCACCACTATCATTTTGCACTGTTTTATTTCAAAACTATTTTAACTATTTTCTAAAAATAGCTTTAGATATGCAGTCATTCTTTTGAGGAGGATTTTTGTTGATAAGGCAAATAAATRCATAGATACTTCATGCTCCTTCAGTTACAATTTTGATTCCTCTAAAATACTGATTTGGGGGGGGGGGTTGCAGTTTATTCAGGTATGAGCAGAGGACGGCTGTGTAATAATCAGAAATTGTGAAGCTGAAGATTTTGTGTGTAAGCAAGTGGCTGTGGAGTGGGATTCAGCGGCCTGAACTGTGCAGCAGTCTGTGCAGATCTCTGTGCGTGTGAACCCGATCACATGAACCCTTATAATCAAGTTGTTTTATTTCAAAATATGTGTTTCTGCAGAGTTTCCTCTGAAATCTGCATAGCTGCTTTGCAGGTTTCCTGCTGAAATTGCAGGGAAGGAGACTAAGGAAACTTCACTGGTGTGCGTGACAGTCTTCAACAGATACACACACATATATATATATATATATATATATATTTGTCCTTTAAGAGAGGTGTGTAAATAATGTCGTGGCAAGCAGTGCGGGTTGCCCTGTCAGTCTGCGCCGGGCACGTGGGGAAGCGGGCGCTGCGGAGCCGCGGCCCGGCCTGGCCCGCGGGCGGAACGTGCTCCGCGAGGGCCTCAGTGTGGTTTCTGCTTCATTGAGTCGCTTATTAGATTGATGCAGTTTATTTGTTGAGTGATTGAATTGGTTTTAAAAATAAATGAAGCGAGAAGCCTCAGTTTAGTTATTGCTGATAATTTATCAGATGGTTTATCGTTTAGTCATGGTTATCTTGTTTCAATTTCAGGCCAAAGTGTTATTTACATCCCAGGTGCTGGGATACTTAAGTGTGAAAGGGAGAATAGACAATAATTTGGTGGTAAAGGTTTGCCAACCTTGCAGCCCTTATGGTGGATTTCGTAATGCAGAATGAAACTTTGGATATTAGGGAACAATCTACTGGAACAGATTGCCCTGTTTTCTGGGGACTTGCGTATCTTTCTAGTCTTGCCCCATTAATCGCAATGTCTATTTAAAGCTTTTAAGTCAGAAATGATTTTTGAATTGTAAGCATTTCTCCCCTGATTGTGTGTTCAGTCTTCACGCATACACTTTCTAACCATACAAAGGCTATTTTTAAAAGTTTCTCTGAGTCTGAGGTTCTGCTTTGAAACATCTAGAACATGGTTCCTGGAGGAAATGATTTGTATTTATTTTAAAACATGTTATTTTAATTAGTCTATTAACACCTCAGATTTTATTTCTGATAGTAGTGGGCAATGTTTAACGTTCCCGCAGTGAGACCTCTTGGCTTTCTCTTTTGTTCTTAGGCTGCGGATGTCGGGGCGCGCTCCGAGGCGCAGCCCGCGCTGTTCCTAGGTAACAGGCGCAGGCGGCCGCGCTCCTGCCACGCCAGGCCCATGTGCTCCGGTGTTATTCACTGGGATCCATATGGTCAGGGTAGGCAGTGTCCCCGGAGAGGTGTTAACACTCAGCAACCCAACCTCCCCCTGCCCTTCGGAGAATTGCTGGATGGCTCCTGCTGCCTGCCCATGTGTGAATCTTGATTAATTTTTCATTTTTAATGAAGTTTGATCATGTTTATTATTTCACATGATTGACTGCCTGGTACTCCTTCCGTGTAATTGATAAAGCCCATATTTCTTCATCTGTCTCTTATTTCTTCAGGGCAAAGTTGTGAAATTGTGTGTTGTGGTTAATATTAGATTTATTGGTCCCATTAGATGTATAAATTATCTCTTTTTCTCTCCACAGGAAGTTCTGCAGACTTTGACCAAGTTTTGTTTCCCCTTCTACGTGGACAGGTAGTGTTAGATTTTCAAACTTTACAAGAAAATAAGCTTGTCAATAAAACCACTATGGAAAATAAAAACCATACCATTCCTAATGTTCTGTCTGTTTGACTGTGATTTAAAGCACTCAAGTGCAAAATATAGTCTCAGTATCCCTTTTTCCTGAAGTTTTTATGGGCACTATCAAAAAAAAAAAAAAAAGTATAAAAGTTTGAACTGTTCATGGGCAGCAATAAAAGTGCATTTTGTTTCAGTTTTACATAGTTTGGATGTGGAAAAACTTGAATAGTAATGACTAAAATTGCACTATCAAAAATCTTGCATACATGCATATATGATTTCTTAACTGCCAAGATATAGACAGAAAAGACAGAATAATGAATTGTTAAATGCTTTACATATAAAAGCCTCTTTACTGTCATCCTACTATTGATTATTTGTTTGTGCATTTTTTTATAACATTTAAAATAATCATTGAAAACATCGAATGGCCTTGTAATGAAATGAGCTCAGACCTTGCTTTAATTTCTCTTCAATATTATCAGCAAAATCTTGTTTTCTGCTGTGAGATGAAAAAAATTTACTTTTAAAAGTATGTTATTAGAAATCTGCAGTTGTGAATCAGAAACGCTGCGCAGTTTGTTACTAAACATCATCTTGCTCTTGAAGTAAACAATTAGATATAAAAATATTTAGGATTATATGAGTGAGAACCTGGGTTTGTTTGGTATCGTGTGTACCGAGTCAGAGATGCACCTCATAGTTAGAGCGGGTTTTGTTTAAAGATAAATGTGTTTTTTAATATCCTCTCTTCCTGAAAAATAAGACTCAACCCCCACCTCCAACCCCTTTGTGTATTTTAAGTTTTTAGGGGTGTATATTCTCAAAGTTAATTTCTCAAAAGAAAAAGGAAAAAAGAAGAAAACTCTACTGAAAGAGGAAATGTTGCAGGTTCAATGACTTGGTCAGATTAGATACTTGTGACACTGAGTTAGCTCAGCATTAACTTTTCCTTTTTATTCTCCTTATTTTCAGCCATGCAGTTAGCCAAGTTGGCCAGAACTTCACATTTGTGCTTACAGACATTGACAGCAAACAGAGGTTTGGATTCTGCCGCTTATCTTCTGGGACCAAGAGCTGCTTCTGTATCTTAAGGTAAGTCAGTGGTTTGACTTTTAGCTGACTTGAGGAAACAGTGTTTGACTACACTGCAGTTATAATTTCCAGCTGTTCAAAATTACTTTCCTATCTGGTCCTCAAAGGCCACTGCTCTTCAGCAGAAGGGGTGCAAAATAGCTTGCACTTTGAGTTCTTCTGGACGTAATCATACTTGTTTATAGTCAATGTTCTTGAGTTGATGTGAAAAAAAGATCAATGTCTCTTTGCAGGAATTTGATATGATGTAGCATGATGGCAGTTGTTATCTTTAGCTGTCACAACTGATCTAGTTAAGACGTTTTGTGGACATTTGTATATGCAAGTTTTATTAAAAAAGCATCTGTTAGTAACTGAGAGAATGTCTTGCTGGTGCTGTCCGCATTCTGAAAGTTTGTGTGAATACACTTCACTGTCGTATTGATAGTTTTGTAATTTTTGTCCTGTAAAACTGGTAGTGCAAGTTGGAAACAATGCATTTCACACAGAAGAGGCAACAACGATTTGTCAGTTTTGTTTCTAATGACCTTCCACCAGTGTGCTGGAATATAGTCCTTAATTTGTATTTGCTTCAAAAATAATGCTTTTATACCAATTTACTGGTTCTGCTAAGAACTCTTACGGAATTCAAGATTTCCACGTGTTGTCCTGTTTGTTCCGTTCTGAAGAAGTTTCATAGTGGTCTCATTTCTCCTTTTACCTGTTAGTTCAGATATAATTATCTGTACAGTCAGCTAGATGATCAGACAATTGCTCAAGCAATTGCAAAGAAAAGGACAATTTCCTTTATTAGCCCCTGCAGACCTGTGTCCCACACTCTGAGCACACCCTCCGCTTGGTCCTCACATGAGGGCTTCCAGGCCAGGAACAACTGGCCTTCGGGTTACGAGTGCAATGTGTGTTGGCAACAGCGGAATGGGACCTTCTGCCTATGTGTTGTTGAGTATGACACCTTTGGAGAATTTAAGGGATGATGTTGCCAAATGTGAGAGAAACTATTTCTGACTTGCTTGGCCTATGTATGGTAATGCCATGGAGTAGGTTTTCAGTTGATGTTGGAGGTTTATGTTGAATATTTTAGTGCCATCTGTACTGAAGTCAGATGATCAAATAGGTGTTGCCGTATGCTTAACCATTAGAGTGACAGGAGAGATCTGCTCACTAGACCTTCACTGAAGAAGTTAATATTTCGAGCAATTGATATGTAATTAACCAAAATTACTCATTAATTCACAAGTTTGCAAGATGACAAGTGTTTCCCCACTATCTGCATTCACTCATTTCGCTAGCAGAGATTGCAGCTGTTGCTAGCTATTGCACTGGAGCAGTATGGACCATATAGTCAGGGCAGGAAGGTGTTTCTGCAGGTGTTTTCCTGTAGTTCTTACCCTGCCTACCTGGGCGGCCGAGCTACGCTCAGGTAAGAAGGGGCTACTTGCAGGAGGTAACTTTTCCTGCTTAATGAGAGCTAAAGGAGAAGCAGGGTTTAAGAAGAAAATCTGAATGAGTTGTATGAATCCCTTTCTTGATTTCTCCTGGATTAGAGTTCTTTGCTGTCAGCTCCCTTATGTTGAGTGAATGCCAAGAAGAAATGGAGGAGTTATGTTGTAGTTAAATGCCTTCTGCTTCAACTCATAACCAAAAAAAAAAAAAAAGAAACCAACAAAATTCAGTGCAGTTACAGCAGTGGATGGACAGGAGCTCATAGCACCGTTTCTATTGCCTTTCTCCTGTGAACTCATGAGAAAATGGAATATCATCATTAATGTAAATTAATGGATGGCTTAGAAGATAATGAAGAATGTAAATCAGCATTACACAAATTCACTTTCTTTATTCCCAGGACAGCAGCACATATTGTTAATGTGAATCTTTCAGTGTCCTTTATGGATTCAAGGACACCTCCTAGTAAAGGGAGACTGTTACTCCAAGTGGGGATGGATGGACAAAACAGGCTGAAGAACGTGAGCATTATATCCAAAAGAAACTGGGATGAAAACATTTTTTTCATAAGTCAATTTGTTGGCATAAGTTCCATACTTCATTTTTTTCATGATAAAATATATATTTTAATGATGAATAGTATAATCCTTTGTAGCTTTGAAGATAACATCAAGTTGGTCAGAAGTGCTAGTTTTTTTGGGCTAGTTTAAAAAATGGCTTGTTACCTGTTACTGAGCTAAAAGCAYTAAACTGACCTGCTGCGCATCTTCAGCGCTCGCTGGCAGCCTTCTCTGGTGCCCGTCTGTGCCCTCCTCCAGCAGACACACTGTGCAAACCTCATGGCAACAAGCTGCTGTGCTCAGCAAGGAATTTGTGAAAGCATCAAGTGATATTGCTCATTATCAGAGATGACATTCAATTATCGATCAAAAAGAGATTTCATGGGTGAGACTGTGGCTGGTTGGTTTGGGGATGGAAAATCCTCACTTGTGTAGCCCCTCATTGGGTAGGCGGAGGAGGAGGAAGTTCTGTGCCCTTCACCTGTTTTTTGAAGACACTCAGTAAGAGGCCGGGAAGCAAAGCTGAGCACTGAGAAAATACACTGAACTCCGGGTCTGGGCTCTCATTTTCAAGGTAAACCTGAGACTCTTCCACAGGGGTGCAAGGTGCAGTGAGGCACCTGCTTGGAGTTCAAAAGCAGGGGAGCCACCTGCACGGATGTAGCTCCTGCTGTCAGCAGAAAGGGCTTCCACCTTGCAGAGTAACTGCTTGGGAAACTGCTTTCAAGATAGTTTTCAGGATCATTGCAAGAAACAACAACTTTTGGGGGGTTATATTTATATATTACTTTTCTTTTTTTTAATGTTCTTGCTACAGATAATATACAGATTCCTGAAATTGTGACTTTGAAAGCTGTATCTCCTGGATGTTCTAGGATAGCCAGTAATGCTGAATCACTGACCCTGTCTGTCTTCTAATTCTGTTTTCTTTTTCTTCACTTGATTTCTAGCTCACCCTGAAACTGCACTGGTTGAAAGTTGTATGTAAGAGTGGTGATTTTCTTGTAGGGCCCTGGGAATAGCACTAATTTCTGCATTTCAGACAGCAGAGGGCGGACAGAAGCCCCAAACGGGTGTCACGGCTGCTCCGGTGGGGTGTGGGGGTTCTGGGCAGGACAGGATGGGTTACAGACCTGCACCCCGTGGAGAAACAGGTAAAACCCCCCTAGCTCTCTGCTTTGGTCTGACTTTGCATTCTTCTTGGGATGGGATTTTGAAGGTGATCAATATGCATAATTCTGAATTTAGTCAAGGGCTGTTTTGAACAAAGAAAAGAGTGGAGTACCCTGAGATGCTGTTGCTTACTCTTCCCAGCCCATAAGCAGGCCTGTCCCCTAGCTTTGCTCCGGCGTTTGTACACTCGTGCTTTGTGCTTTTCTGTTTTCCATGTGCATTAAGGAGAGAAAGAGCCTGACAGGCACCAAAGATGCTCAGAGTTCGTTCTTGATTGCTATTTCCTGCTAATTGTAGTGTGCTGAAAGGTGATGTAAACATACTGATCTATGGATATAATCTTACTGATTAAAAAAATCCGCATCTTTCTGCTTTGTTGTGTTCTTGAAGCGTGTAGATGCTTTTTGGTTCATAAGAAGTTTGCATGCTGAGGCTGTTGATTTTAATTCCCTCATTTTTTAGCTTCAGATCTTCTTACTGGCTTGCTCATCTTCTCCCGTTCCCAGCAACCTACGCTGTACTGAACTCTTGGAGCCCTTGTGTTGATTCCATTACAGACACTGTTTCCAGCTCTATAATTAGCTCTTTAGCAAATTCTGATGTGATCTAGAACGGTAAGCAGTACAGATCTTGTTCGATTTAAGCATCCTTATAAGGAGAATGTAATATGGAAAGTAGCTTGCATTACTATTAGGAAGGATATTGAAAGCAATGAAATTCGGATCATGAAACTCTTCTGCTTATAGTCTGCTTTTAGGGGGACAGAATTGAAAACCTCATAGTTGAAGTAAGTGCAAGCGTGAGAGTTCCTTTTGTGCTATTTCTCATGTTCCAGGTTGTGTAAAGGAAATGAAGAATAGAGGTTATATAAAGCTAGGAAGAAACTACTGAAAGTATGAGTTTTAAATTGTAAGAGACATTAAAACACGTTTAGGTAGGAAGACATTGACGCTACCGYGGAGCTCCCTTGCAGCCGCCTGTCTCGCACTTCCACTTGCGTCGTCCACTTGGAAGCGGAGGCGCCCAGCGGCTCCCGGCAGCGTGTGCAGCTGAAGGCAGGAGACAGCTCTGCCAGGAATGGGAAAAATGTGGAGAACTTGGTCTTTTTTTTGATACTGTTACTACAGTGTTTATATAATACTGCTGACAACTCTCTAAGTCATTTTAAAGGCTTTTTAAAAAAATCTTTTGTCCTCTCAAATATTTCCAGCATTTAATGAAGGGACCCAGCCATTTTTTTTTCAGTGCACAAATAGATAAGATCCAATATTATCTTCAAATGGCTGTTTGTTTTGGATTCTGATTATTTAATCTTTAAAATAAATGATACCATTATGAAATAAACTTATTTAGGGTAATTATACTAAAGAGTTGAGTTATGTTGCATATATAAAGCAGCTCAGGTTTCGATATATCAGTGTGCGTGCAGGCCAGTGTGGCGGCTGGGGGCGCAGAGTTGTGCGGGCGGCTGGGACACCCTTCCTTTCTGGGAGCTGGCGCCCATGGACACCCTGGGTTTGCCTGGCGGGAAGCACCGGAGCTGCCGCCTTCGTGCAGCCACCTGGCAGATACCTTGGGTGTCTACATGTTAATTTTCAGGCATATCATTTTATCTGCTAAACCGTGAGCGATAGCACTTGTCTCCAGCTACTTGAAGTAGCAAAAGTGATGCAAATTGAAGGGATAGTTCCAGCTTGCTTCGGGTTTTGTTAAAATGAAAGATGCTCCCTATCCAAAGTCTTGGAATGTGTTTCTCAGGCGCTGTGGCCGTGCTGCGCCATGAGTTGAGCCTTGCTTCCCTGGCGTGGTCCCTGGGTGCTCGGT